GAGAGAACGCACATAGCATCCATCACAGTACCTGCACTACAGATTTTTTTTTTCAAAGCATCTTGTGGGACTCTTGCTCTTTGGAACATATTTTGGGAAACGCCGATGCACAGGGAAAATCACACATTGCTTACAAAGCCCTCCGCAAACGTACTCTGGCCTCGCCTCTTCTCAGAACGCCTGCTCTTGCTCAGAAAGTCTCCCGAACCTTGTCCCGTGCTGTTCTCTCTGCCAGAAAAACCCAGAGCCATCCTTCCTCTGTAAAACATTCTTAGAAGCCGCCAGACACTGGGACAAATCACATCCCCCGGGTTCCCGTAGTTTTTTATCCCCACGTGATGTAATTACTTGCGTGTCTGTCTTCCCTACAAGATGGCCAGCTTCCGGAAAAGGGTCACCTGCCTTATGCGTCTTATTCAACCCCCTGTAATGCCTGCCATATAGCTGGTACCCAGTGAATGAATAAATGAATGGACAGGCATGAAGAAATGGAGGGAATTAATGGGAGGGCAGTAATTACTAGATGGTTTCTGAGTGGGAAGGTCCCCAGTGCCTCTCCTTCAACACATAGGTGACAATCTGTCCTGCCTATTCATAAGTCCATCCCTGGCTTTATCTTTATTTTACACACATGTGCATGCGCGTGCACGCACGCGCGCACACACACACACACACACACACACACATGCACAACCAAACTAGGGATTTATTTCAATTCCTCACTCCCATCCTCAACCTGAATTTCATGTTCTGTAGCCATTTCCTATAAATTAAAATTTTCTTCAGAAGGAATATCAAACTGAAGGTTCTGTTATAAATACTTTCTGGCTTGCTTCTAGAAGGGTTCCCAACGTGTGGGGATTCTCTCTAGGTTTTTTTCTTGTCGCACCTAGTTTTCTATAAACGAAGCCTTTATTAAGCCAGACAAGAATTTGATTTCTTCAACAGCCAGAGCTGGAAGGTTCTGCAGCTTTGCTCCACCCCCTCCCCAAGCGTGTTTAGAGATGATAAATCGCACAGGGAAGCTGCGATAAGCTGAGAGAGAAGCTGCCCATGATGTCAACCGGCGACTTTTGAATGAGTCTGAAAGGCTGTGCCATCCATGGTTACCATGCGGACAGAGAGAAAAGGTTTTTAAGCAAGACGTCAGCCTCGTGTGGTTTTACCAGGTAGCAAGCACAGCAGACACAGAGATGTTTCCAGTTGGGTTCCAGACCACCACAATACAGCGAATTGCAATCTTTTTGCTGGTGGAGGGTCTTGCCTGCAGTTTGTTTTTAAAACGCAGTATCTGTGAAGTGCAGTAAAGTGAGCTGCGCCTGTACTGGGTAAATCTGTGTCGAGTGAGGGCAGGATTGTGGAAAAAGGTAATTTCCTAGCTCCTCCCAAAGTGGAATGTTCCAGTGTGATTTTACAATGTTGCATGACACAAATTTCAAGAACAAGAACTATACCTGTATTCCAGTTTCAATATTAAGATGTTTCCAAATCGAATAGGGATGACTCAAGGTCATTCGCTCTCTGCTGCCCCGAGTGGGACTTCTGGACCAGCGGCATCAGCGTCCCCTCAGAGCTCATTAGAAATGCGGGATCTCAGAGCCCACCCCATGCCTGCCGAATCCAAGCCGGCACCTAAACACCCCTCTCATCCAATGGGAAAGCTATTTACGAAAACACTCCATTGGGTGATGCTCTGTGGAATAGATTTATTATTCCACTTCTGGAGAGAGAGAGAACGGGTAGATTAACACAGTGATGGGCTAGAAAATTATACTAATTTGAGGTTAAGGATAAAATGATTCAGTTAGTAAAATTCTGCAGAGCTAGAGTTTCCAAAAATGGAAATGTGTGGAAAAGTTCTTAAATAGAAGGTTCTTTATCCCAACATATTAGATTCGGAGGGCTGCTATAACAAATTCCCACAAGCTACTTGGCTCAAAACAATAGAAATTCATTCTTTCACCGTTCTGGAGGTCAGAAGTCAAAAATCAAGGTGTCAGCCAGGTGTTAGCATGGTCTGTTCCTTCCGCGAGCTGTGAGGGAGAATGTGTTCCACGCCCGCCTCCCAGCTTCCAGATATTCCCGCCAGTCCTTGGCATTGCTTGGCGTATAGGTGTAGAGTCTTCTCTGCCTCCGTCATCATGGGGTACTCTCCCTGTGACAGAATACAGGTCTCCCTATGTCTTTTCTTGTATTCTTACATAGACACCAGTAATACTGGATAAAGGGCCCATCCTACTTCAGTATGACCTCATCTTAAATACAGCCACAATGACACTATTTTCAAATAGGCCACATTCCGAGGTCCTGGGAAAGACACGATCTTTGGAAGGGACACTATTCAACCCAGTACGTCCATCCAACCAGTACAAAATGGCGAGTGTCTGGAGCAGGAATCATGTTGGAGAGATGTCATGATACTTTAGATTTGTGTTCCTATCCCATCCTGAGGGTGACAGATGGCACATGTGGCATGCAAGGTGGGCCACGATCAGGAGAACCTGTACTTCCCACTGCTGAGTACTATATGAGAGTTTGGTGTCATTTCAAAGGACTCCTGTCCTTCAAAACACTCTGGGTTAATTGACCTAGAAGCACAAAGGACGTTTTCCTGTTTCCTTCCTAGACAATGACAGGGCCTGTCAGTTGGAAGGAACAGAGGTCAACGCAGAAGACAGGGACCAAACTGAGAAAGGAGAAAGGCTTTTAATTCTGCAGATGCTGGGTAGCAAAAAAAAATAAAATCTATACCTGAGAGGAAGGACGTCCAATATCGCATGAGATGCCAAGTCGAGCGTCCAAAATTAGACTGAGAGAGAGAGAAGTTCAGAAATGGGATCTGGAGACCCCCAGCCAAGGCAGGGGAGCTCCGAGCGTGGGGCTGGCATCCATTCCTTTGTTTCCTTGGCCTTTGTTGAAAAGCCTCCTTTGAACAGGTGTTTGGGGCATAAAGCATCGTCCTAGGAGAGACCACAGTGAGGAGGAGATGGGGCTCTCCTAAACGGGTGGGTGGAGGTTGGGGAGAGGGCCAGGAGGCCTCCGCGGCAATGCCCCCAAACTGGGCGGAAGGGCGGGGGCAGAGAAAGGTCACCTGAGATGCCAAAGCTGCCTGCCCTGTAGGGCCTCGCGGTGCCCACGCCCGGCCTCGTACAGGGACATCCGGCCCTGTCCCTGCCGCCTCGCTCCATCTGGCTTTCTGTAAGGATTCTAAAGAAAGAGGGACGTGGAGGAAAAGAAGGCGCCAGATTTCTGGGCAGAGGTCTAGGCTCCCAAGGGCTACTCAAGAGGGCTGCCCAGAGTCCTGCTCTTTCATCCACACTCAGCCTTATCCACAGCAGAGGGCAGGAACCATTATATAAAGACTCACTTGTTACTCCGAGTTACACACTCAGCCTCCAGGCGGTGCTCAAGACGCGGCTGATGAATTTTCCGGGAGGGCCTGGTGTGAATTAGTGATTTTTTTCTCTGCAGAGACGAGACGTTGTCTGAATGTTTAAAAGCCTCACTTGAGACAGATGACCGTGATGCTTTCCTTAAACAGGGAGGCCGCCCCCTGCCCGTGATCTTCCTGCTTTGTCTGAGAAGCTCAGGAAGTGGGGGGAGAAAGTGAGGCCCCCCCCTCCAGCAGAAGCGTGGCCCTGGGCTCTCCATCATGACCGACACACGCAGGCCCCGGTGGCCTCGCATCCTGCCGGGAGTGCTCGGGCACCGCGGAGATGTGGTCAGGCTGACATTTCAGCCTTTCTCGTGGGCTCCTGCAGGAGACGATAGAGATGTAAAGGTGACATGGTTGGCAACAGAATTTTTTCTACCCCGCTAGAATCAGCTCCTGTCTTGGGCTGACTTTTTTTCAACGAGGGAGCTTGGCTTTTTAACACAGAGTCATTTTTTACAAGAAAATGGATTGTGGACTCCTGGGGTAGAGCAGTTCCCTCATGGGGAGAGGCTAGCGGGCTGGATTTATAACACATACGTCAGGATGGAGCTGCTCGCTGAAATGTTGGCTCTAGAGATGAAAGAAGCCTTAACAGCTTAAAACCCAGCTTGGATTTCACTGAGGAAAGCACACAGTCCAGACCATTTATTCCAGGTTCATTGACCTTTATGGTTCCTACCAGCAAATAAATGAAGGAGGCCGATTTCTTGAATCATATTAGCTCCAGATTCAGCATGATGCCACCAGCATCGCAGGCTGCCTTTTGCCAATCTGTGTTTGGTCCTACTCATCAGACGTGGCCAGAACTCTCACACCCGGTGGGGCCGGTTCCATGGGTGTGCAACCTGTGCCATCGCACAGGGCCCCGCACTCGGAAGCGCTTCATTTAATGCATGTTCTGCTCTTGTTGTCTTGAAAGTCTTAATAATTTTCGAACAAGGAGCCCATGTTTCCATACTGCACTGGGCCTTGCAAATGGTATCGATGGTCTTGTATGCCAGGCACATCCCTGCTCCTTCAATGTCAGCTGCCACATCCCTTCCACAGGAAGCGCTCATCAGGTGCACCAATAATAATATTGATACCGATAATAATAATGTGGCCAGCATTAATCGAATGTCATACACCATGTGTCATGCCCTGGGATCAAGGTGGTTTGTATGGATTTTCTCATTTCATCTTCTCAACTGCCCTTTGACCAGCTTTCTTGATGGATCTCACTCATCTGCAGGTGGGTGGGAAGACTTGGGGATCTGGGGACTTGTCCATTCAAGGAGGACACTACACAACCATGATTGGGATGTGAAAACACAGTCATTTATAGTTTGAGTATTAAACGTCCCAACCGAAGGCAACAGCCCCTGAGACCACCCTTTGCCATTACTTAATTCCACAGGCTTTGTTTATCCTAGCAATAGTGTGTCAGTCAGTTCACCATTCTTGCCTAAAATAGGAATAAATATATTTTCCATGCACCATTAGTTTCCCCTTTCAGATTTTTCTTTTAAAACTGGCGAAGTGTCCTGTTTTCAAAAATTATGTTTCCTTCTACCCAAACTCACAGGTACAAAGGATTTAAAGGCAATTGTTCCATGACCTTCATCGATCAGTTTAAAGCACTACACCAGTGTAACAAATATTGTAAAATGCTGGGGCTGACATCACTTCAAAACAACAACCAGAAACAGAAGAAGCCAAGTGTCGGGAAAAAAAAAATTCAGCCAAACTCCACAACAGGGAAGAACACGGTGTCTGGGACCCCAACAGTAAAGAAAACCTAGCATAGGAACCAACAGCCACCACCTAGCAGCACACGGACATCTGACAACACCCAGGAGAGAGAACACAGCCTGCAGAGAGGGCTGTGACAATCCTCGTTCCCAGCTGCCTGTGCTCCCAGCCACTTCGAAGGCTGTCACCTGTTGTCTTCGCTGAAATGATTTCGGAGCACGGTTTGTGACCAGACTTACGGAGAGACTGAATCAATTGTCAGTCTCGAAGACAGTCCATCTTTGTATATACCTGTGGCGTTTTTACTGACCTCGACTTACATGTCGACTTGTGTATTTGCACGGGGCTGTGTCACCCAGGACTTGGTGCTGAGCAGGGTCTGTCCACAGCCCAAATCCTCTCCACTCCCATTCCTAACTTCAGGATTTCTAGACACTTCCAGCTGTTACATAAACAGAAAATAGGAATTCTTTTTTTTAGGTCAAGTTGTCACACTAGTGTCAAATATGCTCTTGTGGCTGGAGTTGCCTTTTGAAACACGAGGCCACTTCCTATCATTGTTCACACATCCAGTGATAATGTTCTGTTTAATTAAATTCATATTTAAACAAAATGTGTCAGATGCCTATATTAGTACAGACACTTATTCTTTATATGTTGTGCCCTATTTCTCCTTCCGCTAGAATTAGTAATTTCGTAATTCCCTAATAAGTTTGCTGGAGCACAAAGTATTTGCATCGGTGTTTTTTCCGTTCTTAGATCCCATCTTTGTTTCGATCATTATCTACTTGGCTCTATAAGCCCAGGGCTGGCCCAGGCTGGATGACCAGGGGAGATGCACACAAATCCAGGCAGCAGAGCACCAGCCCCTAGGGATCCCAGCCCCGCCCACCTGCTCCACGTGGGTTTCCACCCCTGCTGGTGCAGGTGCTGCCCAGCTGGAGAGCAGCAGTTGACATGGGCAAGAGGATACGATATGAAGCCAGCTTGGGGACAGCTTTATGCACCCCAAACTGTGAGAGTTTTGTGCTGTTGTCTAATGGACTCTATTTTTCAGAGCAGTTTTAGGTTTACAGAAAAATGAGCGGAAAGTAGGGAGTGTTCCTACATGCCTCTCACCCCCACTCTATTATTTACCCCTATTGTTGCCACTTTGGATTAGTGTGATCCATCTGTTATAATTGGTGAGCCAATATTGATACATTCTGATGAATTTAAGTCCATGGTCTGCATTAGAGGGCTCTCCGTGCTGCACGCTGTCTGGATTTTGACACACGGACCATGACGTGTATCAGTCATCACAGACGCGTCTGACTGACAGCCCCCTCTGTGCTCCCCTGATTCGCCCTTCTTTCTTGCCCTCCCAACCCCGGGTACCCACTGACTTTTCTACTGTCTCTACAGTGTTGCTTTTCCCAGAATGTCGTATAGTCGAAACCCCAGAGTATGTAGCTTTCTCAGAGAGCTGTTTTCTTTTCCTTTTTTCTTTTTCTTTTTTTTTCTAAGACGATTCCAGGTACTCCCTGATGGTATCTGGAAGAATTGCTAGGCTTCCTCTGAACAGCATGATTGATGCTTCTCCAATTGAATTGCCTGGGATCTTGTGGCCATGAGGCTCTGATTCGGGGGATGCGGGGTAGGGCTGAGATGCTGCGTTTCTAGCACACCCCCGGGAGGTCTGTCTGCTGGCCAGGGACCACGTTTCAGGGGGTGTCCGGACCATGGTTAGGCGCGTCCTGAATTGTCGAGGGGGGTGACCAGAACTAGAGCGCAAATAACCGCCAGACACCCAGCTCCTTCTCAATTCGGATCTGTGACCCCCACCCCACTCCGGAGACCGCACGGACGTGCAGGGTGGTTGGTCCCCGTTCAGCCTGTCCTCGGGGTGTGGGCAGCAGTAGAGGACTCCCGCCGTCTGCTCTAAAACACGCTTTTTCGTAGGCACAGGGTTTTGATAAAAGAGAGAACATAGATGGGATTTTTGTTTTGAAAAGAGATTTGAAGGAGAAAACACTTCAGCTAGTCACATCTCATCTTTTCAGAAAACCTGCCATCTCCAGCCTTTCTTCTGAAGTGATTTCCCCTGGCTACCAATTACAAAATGCTCATTTTTCTGCGAAGCAGCTGCAGCCTGCTTTCCCTGTGGAGATCCTACAGATGTATTTAGCAGTGGAGTTGCAGAAGGTTCCACAGTGGCAAAAAGGTGCAGGATACATTTTGATTAGATGTGTGCGTGTGTGGCTGGATGTATGTGTGTGTGTGTGTGTGTGTGTGTGTGTGTGTGTCTGGATGTGTGTGTGGCTGTGTGTGTGTGTGGGTGTGTGTCTGGATGTGTGTGTGGCTGTGTGTGTGGTTGGATGTGTGTATGGCTGTATGTGTGTGTGGCTGTATGTGTGTGTGGCTGGATGTGTGTGTGGCTCTGTGTGTGTGCGTGGCTGGATGTGTGCATGTGTGTGTGTGTGTGTGTGTGTGTGTGTGTGTGCGCGCGTGTGTGACCAGAGCTCTCTCAACAGACCAGGGTACTTTCTTTAGTAACAATTTTAATTATAAAAATAATATCAGCACAAGTAATTATAATTTTTTTTTTAATTATCGAAAGGTACAAAGTGAAAAGTCAGTCATCTCATAACCGTCTTCCCCTCTGGCCGGCTTTGAAGTTTGTCATGGAGAGACAGTTGAAGGGAAAGGATTTTCTACTCCAGATTTTGCGTTTTGTGTCAGCCCACAGGGCGCCTCTCTTGGATGGAGCTGTCCCTTCCTGCATTCATGGAGGCTTAGGTTTTTTTCAGGGTGTCCTTATTGTCTGTTGTAACCTGATTTCATCTGTTTAAAAACATTTTGGAAGACCCGAACAGAAGGAATGCCCTCAGTGGGATTTGTCCCAGCCATGGCTCCCAGGGGTGGCCTTTGTGGGGCTATGTGGCCATCTGTCCAGCTACCCAAACCCTGACCTTCTGTTCCGAGATGAATTGCTATTGTCCTTGCACAGTCGAATAACAATTAGTGAGCAGCGTGCTCTCCCCACCAGAGGCGGAGTCCTGAGGTCTCTGTGCCACGTTCATTGCCGTTATTTGAGCTCAGTTTGCAACATGTTCAGTTTCTATTGCTTTTCCCATCGGTCCCCATAAGCATGCCATGTCAGGAGTTTACAAACACGATGAACGCTCGACCTGGGCACCGAGCTGGGACGGCTTGGTGGGTCCCGTGGGGGACATGTAAGTGTCTCCATTTCCTGAAGAGCTCAACAGTAGTGCTCTGTGACGGGCAGATGACAAAAATAAACGGCCGCCTCCTTAAAATGGGCCTGTGTTTTCAATAGGAGGTTCATCACTAATGAGAATGGCTGGGATAGGACGACTTCTTGCCAACGGGCCTTACATTCGGGAGGCCTGGTCCTCTGGATGCGTGGATGGCTAGCTTGTGTTAATATTTCATGTTATCTTATTGTGCTGGTGCCTGCCTGGCCATGCTTCTGATAAGCCTCACGATAGCAAAGGGTCTCAATAGATTCTTATTAAAAAGAATGTCAAAAGAAGTAACGATTATTTCTAATTACAAAGTGCTCTCTTTTCTAAATATACATACAGTTTTGTGAGTGTGTTGGGCGAGTGTCCAGCTCCCTGCAGTTGGGAGGAGCTTGCCACCGCCTGGTTCTGGCTTGCGTCCCTTTTGTGCATTCTGTTCCTCCGGACCACGTGTTCGAAAGTGAACAGCCTTGCATTTCTCCCTCCATTTAGACCTGCAGATGCCACTTGGGTTTAAATCAAAGAGACACAAGAACCTCTTCTGCCTCTCAGCACAGGGTATATTTTACAACTCTTTGTTCTAGCAGCTCGGAAACCCTCTGAGGGTTTGTTCTAAAACTGTTTTGTAAGAGGTTGAAAGGCATCTGTACGGTCAAGTGAGCACAGACTTCAGCTCTATGATGCGACAGACAAGTATTTACAAGTACTGATTGTGCGTCCCGATAGATCAAGAATTTTATAATTCTATTTTTCATAAGAGCTCTAAATGGTCCCAGAAAGAAATCATCACAGGGGCTTTTTTCAAAAAGTCATATTCTTAATTAGACGTAATTAAGAAAAGCCAGGCTGTCCGCTTCTGTTTTAGGGACCAGAAGTATCGGAGGCAACTCGAATGGGATGTCTCCCCTCCGTCTCCCACTCCTTCCTGTCACACCCTCTCTCTACCTACATCTATGAGGCGCAGTAAGGTAGTGGCTCTTCCTAGCGACACTTACCTTGGCGTCTGTATTAGTTTCCTGGGGCTCCCTTCTCCCCACGCCAGCCCTCCCATGGCGTAACCCCCTGTCCTAACTGAGGAAACTGTCGCCTGACTGACCACTGATTTCAGATCCTAACACCACCTCGTAGTTCTCATTCCATCCCTCCTAGATGGCCCTGCGCTCACACCAGCTTCTGACACCATGGGGTTGACTGACGTATTGTGGTTAGTGTCTACCTCCCCCATTAGAATGTGAGCTCTGTGAGGATAGAGACCTTTTCCTCTTTTGTTTACTAACGTATTCCTAACACGCAACGTGCCTGGAACACAGTAGATACTTAATAAGTATTTGAGGACTGGGTCCCTGTGTCCCTATCCCAACACCCAAATGCAGACCGTGATTTGGAGCGTGGCTGTTTTCTACTTTCTCTGTGTATCAAGTATACTTCCACGTAGTTCATTCTTTTTGTTCATTCCTGCAAAGTTGAGAACCAGGATGAGAGCGCGCCCACTGCTTTCCCCGCTGTGGCAAAGGGAAGCCCCGCGCTGACACCCGGCCACCTTCCCTGACGGAAGTCGCCCTCCCGCTCTCGTCCTTCGTGCTGCTCGTGCAGCTCTGGCTGTCTTTCCATGGAAACACACTAGGTGCAGTTCGTGTCCCCACTTCCGGTCCTCTCATCCGTTCCAACAGCCTCTTCCAGGCTTCGCATGGCCCCGACCCTTTGGTGCTGGCTCTTTAAGTAACCGGCAAACCCTGGCCTTACTCCCGTCTCCTCGTTCACCCATCGATGCCAGAATTCCTCGGAGGCCCAGGGCAGAGAAGGGCAGGCTCGACCCGGGCAGGGCCACCTCCCGGCATAGTTCCAGGGGCCGCTGTTCACACAGGAGAGATCAGAACGGTGCCTCCTTGAGCTGTGCAGCAGGCCGGCTGTGAACTTTAGAATCGTGACACCCAAGGACATCTACACACTGATGACTCTCAAATGAATATCACTCTGAGCTCCAGACCTGCCTCCCCAAAGCCTACTTGGCACCTCCATCTGAATTGCCACCTGGAGTCTCAACGCTGGTCTGTTCCCCACGACCCCCAACTTTCCTCCAGACCTGCTGCTCCCACAGCCCCCTCATCTCAGAGAATGGCGACTTCACCCCTCCACCTGGTCAGGTCCCAAACCTGGCCATTATTCTTGTCTCCTCTCTTTCTCTCAGGCACCACATCCCATCCATCATCAAACCCTGTTCTTCCCTCTTTAAATATAACCAGAATCACCTCTCTCCCTCCCTCCCTGGCCATAGCTTTCTGCAGTGGCCTCCCGACCGCTCTCCTTCACTG